AAGTCCTCCTTGAGTTCTGGACAACCGTTCTTCGTGTGACCCAACTTTTCACAGTAATAGCACCTAATAGTGCTCATGTCTCTTAGATGAGATCTTCTCCCAAGTTGGTCACTCTTCTTCTTCCTCCCTTTCTCAACACTCACAGCAGCTAGTAAATGATTGTCCCTGGAAGACTCTTCACCTCCCATCATCCTTTGACTCTCCTTCAAGGCAGTCGTCACCTCATCTAGTCGCAGTGTAGTCCTTCCTGCTATCATTGACTGCACAAACGGCTTAAAGGATTTTGGTAGTGAAGCCAGTAGAAGCAGCCCTTGCTCTTCATCCTTGATAGTCTCCCCTGCATTTAACAGCCTTGATACTAACTCATTAAACTTGTTGATGTGATCAATTATGCTACCTCCCTCTTCCATCTTCAGTGAGTACAAATCCATCCTCATCATCAACCGGTTAGTAAGTGTCTTCGACGCAAACTTGCTCTCCAACGTTTCCCACAACTTCTTTGGTGATGTCTCTTTCAGCACTGTCACTTTAATCTGTGGGGGCAGTGCCAACCGAATTGTGCTGACAGCCTTCTTCTGGATTGTACTCCACTTTGATTCTTTCATATCACTTGGTTTCTCATCTTGCAATGCTAATTCAAGACCTTGCTGGACCAAATAGTCTTGAATCGTGCATTGCCACAACATGAAGTCCGCCCTTCCATCAAATAACGGAACTTCAAACTTCAAGGTAGTCATAGTTCCACTCAAGCAGCAATCAACTAATACCAAACAATCCAAATTTGAGGAAACTAGCCTCAAAAATGGAATCAAGACGTCAAAATTAGTCAGAACCAACTTCTCTCAAAAAATCACCAACGGGACCCACACGATGACTGGACCTGTTGACGCGGCAATGGGACCCACTGATGACTGGACCTCCTGACGTGGTGCTGACTAGATGATGACGTGGCACTCAAACCCAAAAACTGCTGACGTGGCACTCACGGACCCACCTCTGCTGACTGGACAACCACCTCCTCCGCTGAAGTGGCACTCCCTCCTCTTACTCCTTGCTATATATTCTTCCTTCCTAGACTGCAACTCTGTAATTAATAATTCTTTTCTGATGTGGAAGATCAGTCAAAGCTGCAACCACAGAGCATATTAAGAATTATAATTACTAGATCACCCGGGCTCTGCACCTTGGCTCTGATACCACTTGTTAGGCCCCCACTGCAAACAAATGGAAAGAAAAGAAAAGAGAGCACACAAATTTTTAACGTTAGGCCCCCACTGCAAACAAATGGAAACAAATTTTAAAGAAAAGAAAAGAGAGCACCTCAAGACCTACTCCACGACCCCCTCTAGGATAAATCTCACTAGTAATTTTTGCACGGAAAAATTACAAACTCTCTCCAATATTTGACACTCATAACCTAAAATCTAATACAGAATTATATAGATTGAAGGATTGTGTTGTGTGATGGAAGCCTATATCCCCTCTTTATTTATAGGCTCCAATCCCTCCTCAATTTTCCTATCCCACCGATGTGGGACTTTGAAGTAACACTCAACAGTATTTTGACAATCTGAGTGCTAGCTATACATTCTTTAAGCAATGAATCAACAAGTTCTTCATTGGCATATCCCTGCATACCTAAATTTCTCTCTAAAAATTTTAATTGCAAACTTCTTAAGATTTTCCTTAAGTTTTCTGAGAGTCAAATTAAACTAAGCTAACACTCCTTGTGTCCCATATCTTTCTTTTCGTTGCGCAAAACGAAGAAAAGCTTCGAGTTTTTTAAATTTATTTTATTTAAATATTGGTATAAAAATAAAAAATACTCCGTAAAATTTACATATTTAAAAACTATATTAAAAGTTTAATAAAAGATATTGTGACAAAAATATTTTATTTTATCATATATGCAATGAAAAAATGCCAGTAAACTTTTTTTGTGAAGTTGCTTGGAATAATGCTCTGAAAAGAAAGATATGGGTTGGAAAGAGTACATTTTTTTTACTAATAATACATTATGACAGTTAGATTTGTGACACTTAATGTCACACAATTTTAGTGATGAAGTAAGGATGAATAAGCAGAACAATGGAAGGGCATAAAAAACATGTCCCACTCAAAAAAAGAGTGAAGTAAAACAAAAGGAATAATGCTGCTGCCCAGGATCGAACTGGGGACCTTTAGTGTGTAAGACTAATGTGAGAACCACTACACTACAGCAACAGTTTGCCACCATCTCAGTGACAACAAGTATATAGTGTATGTATATAAACGTTAATCTTTACCATGCCATATTCCCTCCATGCCTAAATACTTTGTACAATTTGATTTTCATGGCTTCGAGACAACATTTTGACTATAAATAAAGAGTAATTTACTTAAATAGGACTAAAACATAATGACTTTCCGAATATAAGACCATATGTTTTTATTTCCCAATGTAGGAGTTTTGGTCATTATTAATTAGTCATTATTCAAGTAAAAATGTCCATCATTACTGGACATTATTTCTCCACTAAGACATTAATAAGTCTTATTTAGCGAATAAAAAAGTTTAAGCCTAAGATTAGGAAAGTCATTATGTTTTAGTCCTATTTAGTGCAATTTTCACATAAATAAATGATATACGTAAAAAAGATATGTTTTTCATCCCATATCTTTTTTTGGCATAATATTACTCACTCTGTTATCAAAAACACTTTTTCTTTCATTTTTTTCACTTCCAACAAAACAATTCCACTTTATACTAAAAAATCACTTTTACCCTTACTTTTTCATACCATACCTATCACATCATATTTTTTCTCTAATAATCAATCCATCACAAAAATCAAAATAATAAGAAAGATATACGACGGAAAAAGTAGTTTGATCAAAATTACATTTTAAAAGAAATCAAATGACATTAAACGAAGGGAGTATGAGATCATTATTGCGAATCACTTCTGATCTCTCTACGCAATTATTTATTTCTTCATTCCCAATTTTAGGACACTAAATATTAACATTTTAAGAACAATTATTAGTACTAGTAGTCTATATATATGGAGTACGTACTAAGAGCTTGTTTGAAGTGATTAACTTCTGAATAAAGTGATTTTCACAAAAGCTGAAAGCAAAAGTACCTCATACCTGCTTCTCCAAAACGGTGTTCTGTGTATAAAATAGTGATGGTGAAAAGCAGAAGCTGACATGCCAAACAAAATAAAATCACTTCCACTCAAAGCAGAAACTAAATTACTAAAATCAGCTAAATTACTAAATCACTCAAACACCCTTTAAATAAACCCCCAATATATAAACAATTAAGGGTTTTGACATAGTAATAAACTGCTTAAGTATCTTTCTTTAATGAATCAAATCTATAAGGTAACGATGCATGCATGCAAACAAACATCAAGAACACAAGTCTGATTAATTAACTTGGATATATTGGATCAACTTTTAATTGTATGTATTAATGTGATGTTGAAAGACTCGACCTCTAAAACCCTATGCGGTTCGACTCTTTTGATACGATCCGGGAAAGAACCGTTAGAAAACCCGGAAAGATTACAAATCATTCCATTACACAAACAGTTCATCAAAATTATGATCAAAACTCATATGGCCGGGTGATGCAGCCACCGAACCACCGCCGTGTTCTACTTCAAAGTCATCCATCATGCTCGAAAACCATCCATTATCTTCTTGAATCTCCGCCGCACTAGCCGCTGCGTCCCCGCGTCGTCGTCTTTTAGCAAGAAATCTTCCACCATCTCTAGCGTCCATGCTGTATCACCAGAAACCCCACTAAGAGGAGCCGCCGCCACCGCCGCCGCCGTATTGGTGGTGCATGGACATGTCTCATTACTTGCGGCATCATCATTTTGTAACAAGGCGGGGGCGGCGGTCATGTCTTCGACCTCTATTCCGCCGAACAGCTCGTCGTACGAAAACGACACGTCATCATCGTTGTTGTTTTCTTGTTCTTGTAACACTAGCATCATTCTTGGCGCGTCCTCCGCGGCATCAACGTTGTCGTCGTGGATTGGTCCTCTCTTCTTCCTCTTCAACCGGCATATGACGAAATCTTTGCGGTCGGACTTGACGGTGCCTTCCGGGAGAGAGAACTCGCTCATGACGAATTCGCCCTTGCGCTCCTCGTCATCTCCCCGCCAGTAGGTGAAGTTCCTCTTGAACCCTAAGAG